AAAAAAAATCCAACTTTTACATGAAAGTTTTTTTTTAAGCATGAAACATAAATACCAACGTCATGTATTTATTTCTTTTATGCAAGGAACACACATGACATATTTTCTTTTTCCTCCTCTTCTCTCTCTCTCTCTCTCTCCATCCCCTTCCTCCCCTCCTCTCTCTCTCTCTTTCTCTCTCTCTTTAAGGGTATAATGGTTTAAGTAGGACTATATTAAGCTTGGTTTGGGTTGGTGAAGATATGTTATGCTTGGTTTAGGTTAGGTTAAATTTTGTAAGTCTCTGTTAGATTGGTTTGGGGATGATTATGGTTAAGGAAGTTTGATTTTGATATGCTAAGGTTCAGTTAATGGGTTAGGATTGGTTTACGGTTTGGGGTTGGGTGATGAGTTTAGGTTGGTCTAGTGTTTTGCGTAGGATGGGATGAGAGGAAGGAAGAATGCTTGTGGTTAGATTTTGGGTAGTGATAACTGTGTGGTGGTGTGTGAAAGGAAGTGTAAGCGAAGGTAAGTGTGTATGTGAAAAAAGGATTAAGAATGAGTGAATAGGTGTGTGTTAGGCTATGGAAGAAAAGGAGGGGGAAAGGGAGAAGTTTTGGTCAAATGAGAAAAGAAAAAGGATTAGGAGTGAGGAAGAAGGCCCCGACCATAATGGAAAATGGGGAAAATAGATTGGAGGGCTTGGCTGTTGGTGAGAAATTGAAAAGGAAATGAATAGGGGCTTGGCTTATGATGAAAAAATGAAAGAAAAAAGGATGAAGGCTCAATTTCTGGCTAAAAGAAAAGAGGGGAAGAAATAAAACAAAAATATTTATATAACACTTTTGTTGGTTACATCATGTAAAGATTAAATCAAAATTAAAGGGGAAGAAAAATGATACCTTTTTTTGACAACTTCTTGAATGAAGTGATTTCGTTAGTCACTTGGTGATTTCCTTGTCTCAATTTTAACTGAGCCCCTTAACTCCCTCATCCCAACCAGACCACGCCTCCCCCACCCTCCCAACCCCATCACTTCCCTGCCTTCTCTCATTCTACTTCTACTTTCATGTCCCTCTCATACACCGAAATCCCAACTCTTCTCTCCTCTCCAAGCCAATTTTTTCTTCCCTATCTCTCATCCTCTCTTCTCCTTATCCACAACTTTAGTTAAGGTTTAGTTTTGATTTGAGTTCATATTTGTGTGAATTATTGCAATTATTTTTTATTAATAAAATAATAATTTTCTTTTTCCAAGTTATCGCAAGTCAATGAGCCAAATGGGTTCGAATTTGGGTAGAAGGGGTTCGTTTGAAATATTTTGACAATATGGATGCAATGGAAAATTTGAAGTACAAAATTTTACGTGAAAACGATGTATGGGGACCCCCAAACTATTTTGCATGCTCCTCATGTGTGACTATGAACATTTCACAATTTACAAATTGTAATTCCGATCATTATATTAGTCTATGAAGAAAACAATAATTTAAGGGTGCTGACATGAAAATTTGAACTGAAAAGTTTACGTAAAAATTATCTCAAGAAATCGTTGAACTTTTTTGCATGGTCTTTATATGCAACAATAAGAATCAAACAACTTTCAGAATGAAGTTTCAAGCCTTACAATAATCATAAAAAAGAATGATAATTTTAGGTTAGTTTTAAGATTTGGTGGATGTTGATTTTAGTTTTATTTTGATTTGACTTATTTTACTTTTTTTGTTTTGTTACATTTTAGTTTTATTAGATTAGGATTTAGCTCAAGATTCAACTTAAGTGAAACTTAATTTGATAAATATTGGGAAAATAGGATTGACTGAAAATGAGTTCAACAATTGGGTTAAATTTTCTATGTGAAAAACGCATTTTGTTATTAATTTGCTATGTGAAAATAAAATCACCAGACTTTTGGTACTCAGAAGGGGCTCGCAATGTTTTAAATGTATTTTCTTCTAACAATATTGGCCAAATAACAGAAATCTAATAAATCATTGTTTTTTAAAACATAAAGCCAAATGTGCCTCAATTCCATTTTTACTCCTGAACTTAACCAGATGATGTAAATTTTAATTTTAAAAAGAAAAAACATTTTTTCATAAAATATATTGTCAATCCTCATGTAATCCCAAATGAATCGTTAGATGGCTCTAACATATACAATAAAAAATTAAAAAAACATTCAGACAAACTTAAAAGTCAGAATTTTGAATGAAAAGAAATTACCTCAAAAATGATTATAAAAAATATACTTAACACCAAAAATATTAAACAAAAAAAAATTCAAATAAAAAGGTGAATTTTCATAAAGTGAAGTTAAATTATTAAGATAAAACTGAATAACTTCATATCAGACTATCAAAACAAATTGTAAGCACAGATATGTTAGAATTTAGCACTCATTAACTGTTGATCAGATAATTGGGAAAGAAATGTGGCCAATGATCATAAGCCTGTTTGGCATAACCATTAAGACCATCCCCCTCATATGCTTTATGGCAAAATAATCTGATCAACATAAGGAAATATAAAGACAAATTCCGAATAACGCCTAAAAATCATCCAAACTATATGGCAATCAGCTGCTTCCCACATTTAATTCCTTTAAATTTCAAATCATTATTAACAAACTTTTTAACTATCAATACAAATTTCTAAGCCCTACTCCAATCTAGAATACAAAATAAAAATATGTTTTTTGTTAGGCATAGAAAAAGTATTTTTCCATTGAAATTGAAAATGGAGCATGAAACATATACAACCAAGATAGTGCCCCTTGGAAAACTAATACAGGCGACTAAAATGCTCCACAAAAATTAGAGACTAACTACAAAGAATTAACCACTTTCTCTATTTGACAATATTCTTAACCCCCCCATCAACATCATCAATGTTTCTTTTCCTTTTTTTTTCATTTTTTTTCATTTTTCCTAATAAATTGTACATTAAACTATAATCAGTTGCTACACATTAAAGCCCGTTGCCTCGTTACCCTACCTACATTGCCATTGACACCATTGAAGTCAAGCTTCCGGGGCCCACCAGTCCATTCTTCATCACTAACATCATAACCATCCTCATCATCATCCTCATCATCATCATCATCATCGTCGTCATCCTCATCCCTCTTGCGAGCAGCTCTATTACGGGTAGCTCTTCGAGAGCTTCTTGTCGCTGGGGTTGGTGTTGGGGCTGGGGATCGGTCCGGGGCTGGGTTTGGGCCGGGTCCTGAGGCTGGGTTCGGGGCTGGGTTTGGGACTGGGGCTGGGGTGGGGGGCCTCTTCCTTTTCACAGTAGATGTGTATGTCGCATAGTCCATGGTATCTTCCTTCAGCGCTGCCTTTAGTTCCTGAAATGCAAAATTCATAGTAACATTGCCACGGCCAAAAAGTGGGAACTGAAAAGTATGGTTTCATGGAGAAAAAAGAGGCATCTACATACATACCTGCCTTTCCCTGTGTATTACATATCTAACACCAAAACTTTACATTTTATATTTATACCAACAAAATATTTCAGATCACATCAAATGTATCATCATTTTAACATTAAAGTGAAAGGTATGTATTTAAGAATTTATTTTTGGTTGTAGATAAGTAAATACATGGGAATTGAGTGGCATGTATGTAAATATTCCTAAAAAGAATTATAAGAGAACTGTTTACATTCTCCAGACTCTTTAACATTGCTAGCTTTTATCACTCCATCAGATTATTAAAAAAGAGAAACAGTGGAAAAGCATTACTCTCGAGGGAACCAGAAACTGGCACAGGTTAATTTTTGGTGGAATGAGAGTACAGGATTTAGCTCATGTTCAATCTAATGTGTCCAAAATTACTGCATCCAATTTTTTTGCGGTTAATATGCTACACCAATGTAATCTTACGTATCTCATAAAAACCTCCATCTCCGATTGATTTTTTTTACACAAAATAAACTTCAGTGATAAACTAATACCATATATAACTGCTATAGAGCGAGTGCTGAACTAGTGGTTTTTCCATGCTGAATCTTGGCTAGGTTCATATAAAGCTATTTTTTGTTCAAGCACATTTAATGACTTTACTAAAGGATGAAAATTTTGATTTGGCCAATTGATTGAAAATTTAAACAAGAAGAATGAGAACTCAAAAGGCTACTACAATGTAAAACACTACCTTGTACTTCTGAATCATGTCATCATAGTTGGTAGGCAAACTGGTAGAAACATCACTGGCACTGAAAGCAATGTTTTGCCTGGAGAGAGACTCCCCAGCCTTTGGATGTTCCTTCAGAGAAAAAGCCTGATTTATTGAATCAAATAAAACACGGTCAGAAAAGAACTTAAAAGAATAATCATATGTTTCAATAGATTTTTAAATGTAAAGGGGAAAGAAAAAAGAAAGAAATTTAGACTGGGTTACCTGACACCTGGCATCGTTCAATGCAAACATAATTTTTAAGTGCCTTTTCAGCTTTAGAAGTAACTGCAGAGCTGTTGAATCTTGCCAATCAACCTGATAAATTGCAAGCCCTCCATAAGCATGTGGTTCAATTAAAAACGAGACTCTTATTTTTTAAAAACAAAAAGATTTATAAGATTTAAGATTTACAAGCTACGGAATCAGCACTTCAACATAATATATCTTCTAAGAAAAATATTACTACTTGAAAACTTGAAGCTCAATAACAGGAGGTAAAGTGATCTAAAAATGAACCTGGCTGGGCTTGCCAACATCTGCTAGAAGTAAATGTTGGAGAAACAGAACTAATTTGCTCTGAACAAAAGCAACTAGATAAGCATACTAATGCAAAAAGCTCGTTAACGAAAGTGCAACACAACCCTTGATGAAAAAGGCTTTAATTTTGACCCCTAACTGTTAAACTGTTGTCTGTCTGACAGAACAATAACTTATTCATTTATAAACTGAATTTAAGCGAGAATGAGTGCCTTTTTGCACGTAAGAGGAAAAATAGCAATTAGTTTTTCATGCCTAAACTACCCTGCTGAAATTTCTATATGATTAAATGGTTGGGAAAACATTTTAAGCATGCCTTGGCAAGCCCACTCCACAAAAGTTAGGATTGATAAACCAAGGCTAAAATTCAATTGGAAAGACAATGAAAACAAGGGTAGCTCTTTCCTCTTTCACCAATGTCTAAGGTTACAGAATGATTAAAATTTAATTCAAGAAAAAGACAAGAAAAAAACATAAAAATCGTAACGCCATGGACATAATAATCATAATCCCTGTCAAGGCCAATGCACGAAACTAAGAAAATGGTTTATCAGTTGAAATTAAAAAAGAGGATGACCTGGAACTTTTGCACTGTTTCTGCAGTAGGGACACTAGTGTTTTCCATAGCTGATGCCACATGCTGATTAGAGACATTATGCTCTTCAGAGTCTTCATTCAGCTCATTGGTTGCATCAGGGACTTTAATAGACCCAGTCTGTTGCCCAATAGAACTCCACGTTTTCATGTTAGCTTCAATTGCCCCGGCTCTTATTTGAATTACACGATTAATATCATAAATCAAATAAAGAGGTTCATCAGGAGATGTAAATGGGAGAGTCGCAAGAATTTCTGTACAGTATCTGCAGCAAAAATAAATAAATAAATAAATAAATGTCATCTTGAATCGGGTTGCCTATTAAGGTAAATCCTGAAGTTTATAATATTGACTTACAGGAGAAATGATACTGAAGGGATATACCCATATCCAGACTCAAACTTTCTCACAATTGAGTGCATAAATTTGTTCCTTGAAACACGATTGCCTCGAATAAGCCTATATATTCTTGATATCCCCTGCCTGATGTGAGCAATAGCAACAGCATCAAATTTTCCTCTTGCATTATTTGATGCCACATTCTTAGCTATGGATTGAATAAACTTAAATGACATCTGTAGGCCATCACCTAAACGGCACTCAAAAAATGAAGGATATCTGCATATGCAGATGCACTGTTTAGCATAAACATGCCATCAAAATATAAAAAAGGGGTGAAGAAAAAGGTTCATACTTCTCGTTCATATTCATAAGCAATTGATGAGCCAACTTTGAGTTCACCTCTAGTGGATCATTCTCTAAGGCTATAAGACAAGGAACACATGTCATTGGATGAACCAGACCTTGACGAAGTACAATTTCAACTATCTGGATCAAATGTAAAGCAAATAGAAATTAATTATGAAAGGAAATGGATTAAAAATTTCAAGATGATAAAAGGCATGTTCAACTCTCACCTTAAGAGCAGACTCACGGACCTGATCAATTACATCCATACATCTTTCTAAGATAAAACTCCAATACAACTGAATGATACCTCCACAAATGTTCGTGTCTCCGGCACCAGCAGCCACAGGAACACAATTCTTAGCATATTCTGGACTTTGGGTCCGGGACTTGGCGATGCCATCATTCCCCAGTTGGTTTTCAGCATCAAGAAGGTATTCATACAGGTTTTGAACTGCTTGCATCTGAAAAACAGGAATGATTCATATATCATTTAAATACAAGAGCATGACTAGATAAATAAACATAAATGGTACCTTAATTCTAGGATCAATATCAGAAGCTAGTGATCCCTCTAAAATTTTCCCAATATCTTCCTTCAACATATGCTCAGGTTCAGCAATTAACGCATACCCTAGTGCCTGTAGATAACTAGCAACATAATGAGTAAACCATGCAAAATATAGTAACATTGGAAACAATAACAGAAAAAACCCCAATAATTAAGCCACACCTGTAAAGCTCGAACTTTCAAGCCAAAATCCTCTAGAAGAAGGTACTTTTTAAGAAGCTTAAGACCTTGCACAATGTGAGGTTGTTGATCGCTGCTATGTACCATGAATTCATTGCCATATCTAAGAAGAACTCCAATACAAAAGAGAGAACGCTCCAAACCCTGGAGCATGGAGAGAAATTTATGAAAATCTTTATGGAAAATTAAACGCTAAAACTATGTGCTTAATCAATGCTGATATCCTATGTTCAAATACCATAAAAGTTACAAACTTTACAAGTGAAAAATGCGTAGTATAACAGATACATGTTCAAAAAATGGGTGGTATAATAGAAGCCTAATAAATAAATAAAAAGCTGGACTACAAAGGTTTTTGAAGTTCAAAAGCTTTAAAGCCTGAGATTAAATGCAAGATAAAACAAGGGATAGATCAGAGAGAATTGAAGGAAAGGAGGGCAAAAACTGCTCAGAAAAACAAAGAATAAAGGGAAAAAAATTATTGAGATTACACTAGCATACATCACATCCGCATTCCATACAGGTCTCAGAAGAAATAATGTTGAGGCAGGGAAAGAAGTTAACCAAAAGTAATTTGCTACGGAAGTAGCAGTATGACATGAAACGGCAATATAACAGAATTCAAATAACATAACATGACTTCAAAAAATAGTGCATTGCCCACAAGGACACGGAGATTGTGCTATATGTTAAAAATAAGGTATACATTTATTATATAGTATGACAAGAATAATATTTTTCACAGCACTAAAATGATGCAGTAATTCAATTAAATGCTAAAAACAAATGCAGATTGACATTAAAAAAAGGGAAGATACCATAGCACTATTAATGTATAAAATAGCCCTACAAAAAACGTACATAAATTAGCTCAAAAAAAAAAAAAAAAAACAGATACAATGGAAAATCATTTGTGGCCATGCTGGGACACATAAGGGTTGCTCTATCAATATCCTAAATCAAAGAATTAATTTTCCAGCAAAGTTTTGAGCAAGGAGAATTGATTTATACACATATTTATTTGATATAAAAACAAAGTTAATAGGTATAATATTGAAGAAGTCATGTATAATATAAGCAAGAAGTTGGAACTGGCCAAAAGGTTAAGTGCTAATTCAAGTATATGCACAAGGTCTCATTTTCAAATCCGTCCAACACTGGACTCCACTAAAAATGATTTTCAAAACATTTAAAAATTTGATCACTTTCAATTTCAAGCAGTATCAAATCAAAAGATATCTTCAATTTGAGTGAAAAAGGATAATTTTTAGTCTGATAATCGACTCAAAGGTACCTTGTTCCAACTTGAGTAGTCATCATCCTTGAATCAAAATCATCATCAGCAGCAGCTTATCCTAACTATTTTGGACTGGAATCATGATTTTAATCCTTCTTTGATGTATATAATTTCTATCTATATTATCCTTAGCCAGCCCCATTTTCTTCATAATACGTAAATACTGACAACATTTACCCTCAGGGTCCTTTCAACGCTTCATTGTATATTTTCAAATCACTCAAATCGATTTTTCACTACAATATCACACATAAAAATAACTTTATTATTTTTTTCAATATAACCTCTCCTTTACCTACCATTCCTAGTATTGCTACATATTCATCATATTCATATAAAAAATGCACAAGTTAGCCATTTATAAGTTTTTTTACTATTTGATACTTGAATAAATACAATTTAATCATCCTGATAGCAGTTTAATAAAATATTAAAATTTACCTTTAACTCCATGGTATTCCATATAATTCTCGTAAGGTTCTTCTCTATTTTGATCACGTAGCCTCAACTCTAAATAATATATCTTTGTTTATATTTTTTTTTCTATATTATAGACCCAGGAAACCAATATCCAATCACATGGATATCAATTTATGTTCAAGCCCTTAGTTTCTAGATGCAAAATACTTAAACCTATCATAATTGTTGATATCACACTCACGAAATTACATAGGCAAATTCAGCATTTGTTATATTAATTCTACGTCCTTTATATTTTAAATACATATAGACCTAACTTTGTTCTTAAATATAAATTTGTTAAAACTAAAATTTGTCACTTCACAAGTACTTATAATGCTAGTCAATGCTCTTTCATAACTTTAATAGCTTCAATGTATCCTAAATAACTTCAACATATCTTTAAGCATACTTTTTTCATTAATATACACAAAATCAATTATCTTGACATCTGATCATATGCTTTCTAAAGATCAATCAAAATCATATAAAGGTGTATTTACTGTCTTACTTTTTCATTTATTATCTTGTTACAAAAATCATTTTTGAAGCACGAAATAAAATTGATTCTTTGATATAGACATAATTTATTAGTCCCAAATCCATTATTCATTGCCATAGCTATCTTGTATAACTCAAAAATTTAATTCACCTATAATTAAAGAAATCTTGAGATTTTGCTTTTTTTCCTAAATATTGGTTATAAAATATTGCCTCTCTGAATATTTGGCATCTTCTTATTCTTCCAAATTTATTAGAATTGTTAAACAATCACAATAATATCACCCATAGCTCTTCAATATTAATAGGTTACACATCTAAATATAAAGATTTGTATTTACCCATCATTTTTAAAGCTAACTCAGCTTCACATTTTTTTTATCATTCCATAACATCACTTGTTAATTTGTTTATCATTCTCCTACAGAATGATTTATTTCAGAAAATCTTAGTCAGTTATTTTGTTCATTATATCCGATATTTAGCACTATTTCTCTTCAGTGGAAACTTTGGTAGCAAATTTAACCCACAGGCGAGCAAGTTAATGAATCCAACCAGAATGTAGTCAAGAAAGGGAGCTATTTGTGATTTGATGTGAATGGTTTTGCAATTTTATTTGTGATTTGTTGACAATATGTTTGAAAAACAATAACCGACATATATAGTGGTAAAGAAAGTTTCATAAATTGGTACCGTCTAGTTGTAGTAAAAAAAGATAAGTATTTCTAATGGAGGTGACATCAAGTTTTTCATAACCGCTTTAATTAAGTTGAGCACTTAAAATTAATTTACCTACTTACTAATAATTGAAATATTTAAATGAAGATTATCTTCCGCATTGTTTAAACTGAATGGTGTCTCATATATATGGAAACCAAACAATAGCAAAAAGGACAAACTAATAAAGAGGATTTGATCAAACAATAACCCAAAGATCAATATGCGTAGTATCTAATAAGAGTATGTAATGCCACAAGAATTTTGAAGGAGTTTTGCTCCCTATTCCAAACTTATTGACCAAATAAATTTAAAAATTCATGGGATGAAATCTATGGAATGCAATTTAAATACATACCAAGATAGGAGATATCAAACAAATCATATGGCATCTCCCACTTCCATCCAATAAAAAGGCAAGATATATGATAGATAGGCCATGGAAATTATTGTGACGCATAATATACTAAGAAATAGTGCATTTCTGAAAAGAGTAAATCAAAAATTTTCTTTTTGAATGTATTAAAGCCTTGACCAATCTACAAGTGCTCCAACACCCTCCAACTCTCTCCTTTATCCTTCATAAGAATTAGAGCCAAAATTTTACTTCATTGCTCATTACACGTTATGTACTTATCCCTTGACGACTTGAGCCAAAGCCAATAGCCTCTCCTAACATATAAAATGTATGTTTTCTCCCTCCTTAACCCTTCCATATCTTCTTTTTCTACCTCACCTCTAACATTTCATTAGACAATGTTGTATTTTGCAGTGTTGCTAGTTAATGAATTCTTGCAAACTCCATCTATAGTGGAAATGTTGTAATTGTTAATAATCTCAAGAACATACGTGTAATTAAGTGAATACACTTTTTTAAGAAATTTTTTTCACATGCTTTTCCACTCAAATTATAATTAATTTTTTAAAAGTATTGTATAAGAACAGATTCTAGGCTAGTAATTCCTGTGGGAAATCTATTGTTAGCAACTGTCCCATGGATTGTTGAATTTGGTAAAAATTTCAATGGCTGTAATTTTTTTGGTAGCCTAGCAATTTCTGGTTGAAATGCTCATGATGGGAAGGGTAATTGTGTTATATGCTAGTTTCCTGAAGTGAAGCGTACTCTTAAGTGCAGGACTTCAATGATTTGAAGTTTATCTTCTAGCCAGAATTCTATTGTAGTTTAGTTGTTCAGTTTAACCATTTGAGATCATTATAACTGAGCACCGTTCTATTCCATCTACTGTCTTGTGTGGTTATGGCTTTATATTTCCAATTTGTTCTCATTCATACACAACCAAGGGTTCCCTCTCTAAGAAGCACCACATTATGATTTCACAATTTGTTGAATATCCCTAAATGAACTAGCATTGTGATGAGGCCCGTTTTTGGTACGTATTGACTAATGGTATGGAGCTACAATGGTCACTTCATGCTAGTGCCTTTTTAGGACATCGCGAACATGCCAAGACTTTCACAATGATATGCATGGCATGTCGTTTTTTAAGTCCAATTTTGGGTATTAATTGGGTTTCATCCAATGAAGGCTTGTTTGAAACAACTTTATTAACATTTTTTGTACTTAAAAGAGCAAAAATAAATGATAAACTATTTGGATGCATGATGATAACTTCAGCCAGCTACTCTCCAGCCCCATTTTCACTGTAAGCCTGTGTTTTAATGAAAAAAAAAAATCCAAAAAACCTATGCTTTCTCCTCATGATGACATCTCCCGATCATGCATCTGACTCACGATTCCTTCAAAGATATACCAAGAATAATGTATTTCAAGAACCAATGAAAGAATAGTGTCCGCTAAATAGAATTTACAATTTTTCAAGCATCTGCAACATCATATCATCATTAGCCTTACCCAAAAATTTTGGGTAAATGCATCTAGATAATTTTTCTGATGTTCGAACTTCAAATTATTTAGTGTAATAGTTTTCATGTTTTCAAAAAAATAATAATGATAATATAAAAATACTTGGTCTACTTTTTTTTTTTTTTTTTGTGATTAGCTGTGTCCCATGTTTTGTCAATGCTTCACATCAATTTTGCATAAGGCGCCCATAACCAAAATGCAACAAATATTTTTGCATAAACCAACGCCAACAAAGGTAGGCACGCTCATGCTTCACCAACACTTGCGGATAAGCAATAAATAAGAGTTATACTAGCTAATGCAATAAAATTATTTTCCAAAAACTTTTTTTAAATAACAAGAGCTCCAAAAGAAAATCGTCGCAATCACACAACTGGAACAGCAATATGTAGACTGAAGAGGGTTAACTGCCGCATTTAAATCAAAAATAATAAATAATAACAATAATCTCATACTAATCATAATATGCATTTAAGTAATACCTGCTTGTTATCAAAATTGGGATTACACAGATGCCTGAAGAAAATCTGAAACAGATGCTCCACTAAACATGCACCCTTCTCAGACATTCTACTAAGGGAACAAAGGCACCTATGAAAATATTAAAGTTACTTTGTTAATCTGAACCATTTTTCCAATTGTCCAAAGCTAGCATCCAAATGTAGACATAAAAGTGCTAAAGAATATCAATTGACAATATAGATAATGCTAAAGGAGATGAAATCTATTCAAGGAGATTTTCATTATTTCAACAATTATAAATTGCTAAAGAAAATAATTTATTACATGGCATTTAACTTGAAAAAAAAAGTCACTTCTATTTATATTGCTTTGATTAGCACCACCTCAATATATATTACTATATGTTTTACCAATTATTTATGAAATCATATTTAGCTTGAAAGAAGCCATTTTTATTTCTAATGTTTTGATGTCATTATTAGCACACCTTGATAATTCCACACCACACATATTTTATTGAACATTTTTAGTTTTCAACAATTTTTTTTACATTTCTAATGAAGGATTTCCACTTTAAAAGTAAAAAAAAAAAATTCAATTTCCATAAGCTAAAGAGTTTTGGAAAAGCGACTTAATTAGCTTGGCTTTTTGTGGAGTTCATGGGTTTAAATTGACTTTTTCAGCAAATTAAAAAGCACAATTGATCTAGAAGGTGATTGAGAAAAAACTATTGAAAGAGTGGCAATGAATCTTAGACTGAAGTAGATATTAAATTTATTTTCAAATGTTTTCTTAACTCGTGTTAAACATAAAGACATGAAGTCCAACATCAGTAAAACATGCCATTTGAGTGATTTACATGAGATTTTAGGATCGCAATTGTCGCCTAATGCTTCAAGTTATCCCAGTGAGATATATAATGTTTTCAAAAATTGCTTTATTGGCGCTACAAATTTGCCAACCTTACTGAAAATAATAACTTAACATTATTTACAATGTCATGCGTTCTCAAATCATTCATTTTCTTTTATCTAATGAATAGTATATTTCCAAAATATATAAATACAAAAAAAAATGTAGCATAGCTTGATGTGAAGGCAGCCATGTAATTTGTGACGTGACTTGTTCATACCAATTATATTTTGCCACACCAAGTTTACCACAGTATGTGTTGAAAGTTCATTTTTTAAGCACCAACAAACTGCAGACAACCGTGGGTGTTTATGACCCGTCATCTATTTAGAGTAAAGGTATTTTATTGGGATTGAAAATCAGTGGTATGATAGTCCTAATCTTTTTCTTCCACCAGTCTTTCTGAATGTTCATATGAAAAAATACATTGCTATGTATGTTTATAAAAATAATAAAAACATAATTTCAAAAAATAATGCTTTACTGATGAACTAATTGAGTATTATTTACTCATACAAACCAATAAACCAGCACTTCCAAAGCCGTAAGCATGGAAGAACCATCCAAGGTATCTGATTTGAGAATAACTAGGAATGAACTAATGAGAAGTGAATTGACCAAAAGATTTAAATCATTCAAAGTTCAGGGCATAACATAACAAGCTAATAAACCATACCATGAACACAAAAACATGTCAAATTTCCAGACTTCTAATAACAGCAATGTGAGAAGAAAAAGGAAGTGCTGAAATTAAATGGCGCATGAACTCACTTGATACATGCATGTACAACGGTCAAATAACTGTGTCGAATAATCATGTATTTCAAGTCTAGTATAAGTTCCTCAATAACACTTTGTGGTGGCTTCCGAAGCAATGGCAGGATGGCATCAATAATAGAGATAATACTTTCAAGCAAACGAGCAACTGATTTACTGTTAACCTACACAAACCAATGGATCCTGAATAATCAGTGCCAAAAAAGAAAAAATAATATGTTATACATAGGACTGAAAAGCCATAAAGATGTATTACATATATTCTAAATCAAAAATTAAAAAAAAAAAACTGAAGATTTTCCATGAAAGAACATAGTTTCAGGAAAAGAAATCCAAGGGAAAATTGATACCAAGGTCCTTCAAGTACAAACTTGCATCCAGCACTAAAGAGAAAAAGTGTTGCAAAAGATAACAGCTAAAAATACTTTATTGACCTATAAATGATTTCAAAATACTAGCTAATAATATAAAAAAAAAATAAAGGAGACGAGACATTAATAAGTGTTTCAATGCTCATATACATAGTACAAATAAATATGTTTCGTTAAACTACTGAACTAAAGCTAATAAAAAGTTCAAAAAAATAAGATTTCACAAGGTTTGTAAACACGGCCATAGCTTGCACGGCATTCCCCAGTAAAAACCTGCTGGCTAATAACTACAGGACAACTATATGTAATCAAATAATGAGTACCATAAACCTAAAAACTTACACATGAATGTTAAAGTTTACATTAAACAGAAATAAATCTATCTAAATTATTATTTAAAAAATTTAATAAGACGGTCTACGTTGTCATGAAGCTGCCATAGAACAAGAAACGCTGTAGAAAAAAAGTGCTACAAGTCATGCCACGTAAAAAAAACTCAGTGGGTACTTCTATCTAGTTGAAGCTTTCAGCGTTTGTGGATTACGATGATATCTAAATGGTCTAGTTAAACCCTACCTCAACAAACTATTAAATACATCACACCCTATCACATTCTGGCAGATATTCAAAGGACCAAGTGGCATTGAATTGCAAAACGATTGCATCAGATGAAATCAGACAGGCCTTCATAAGTTAAAAGAGATGAAGGGATGAAGAGAACAAGAGAATCAGTTGTCTCAAGAGTCACTCAAAACTTGCCAATAAAGCAGAATAAAAACTTCAAGTTTCGACTACTAATGTAGTAGTTCATAAGAAGATAACTATATATTAAATACAGTTGAAACACAAATAAAACAAAGCACCTGGTTTTTGAGATATGGCTGAAGGGTTACAACAAACTGGGCTGGACTAGTAGCTGGTGCACAAAGTGTTGGATCAACAAGACAAAATGATTGCAGTGCTAAAACATAAGGAAGTGCCCAGACCTCTTCCTCATCGATGTTCCCTTCCTCTACCTGCAAAAGTGACAAGACTATGTGATAAAGAAAACATAAATAAATAAGCAAATCTTAAAGAGAAAAAAGCTAAGTGTTTAGTGAATGAAAAACCTGCAAAATTCTCTCCAATAAGCGTTTACAGATCAGTTCACAGCGCTTGCGCACAGATGCTAAAGAAACTGCATTTATCCCTGCAGATTTAGCTGACTGCGGAAGAAAATCAAGTGCTAAATTGCGCTTGATAATAGTAACAAGGAAGTGATTAGTAGGCATCTTCTTTATAACATCAACAATTTGCTCAGTTTTCATTGCAACTTCCATAGGAATTGAACTACCATCGCCTACAAATTGGGTTTGACATTCAGAAGGCTCTTCAAACCATAACTCGTAGAAGGTTTTGCAAACGAGATCCTGTCAATTATCAAAGACAAGGGTAATAAGCTTGTTAACTTATATGTGAAGTTATGAATAGAAGTCCATCACATAAACGACCCTATAATTAATCATATTACTCACAAACAATATAAATAACCAAACTCTTGCTTGGAAACCATAAATCATAAGCTATGTTGAATTGAGAAAATTTTCACAAAACAGAATTGAAGGCATGCAATAACAAGTATTATGGCAATTAAAAATCTAATCTGGAGTGAGTCCAACCTTGGATAAAGATCGACCGGAAACTATCCTTTTTTAAGCTAAGCCATGAATGGTTATAGGACAGCTTGATTTGATATCAATTTGAGACAAACATGACTCATTGACTTAGAACTGAGCAAAAATTTAATCTGATCTTGATTTATTTTTTACGTCCCAAAATAAATTTTTAGCCTTGAACATGCATACATTCATACACGTATAAGTTCACATATATGAATGTATAAATGTAATGATTTATATTCGAATACATACAAAAAAACATGAATATACACACATACAAAAATACATGAATATACACACATATATATTTCGATCAAACTTCAAGCTTGTACGATATGACATAAGCTCAGATCAATTCAACTTTGATTTGAGTCAAGCTTCGCACGCTAGTTTGCTCAAATCAAATCTTCAATTTCAAGCTAAACTCAAGTAATAGAAAACAATTTGTTAGACTAGCGCCTAAGGGCAATTTAGTCTTTTATGAGTTATTACTATGGGGCATAAATAGGGCTAATATATTTAGGGTTAAGTTATGTGAGATTATGGTCTTTAGTCTTAGGGTTAGGGTTTGGGGGAGATTGCCTACCTCTCGAATTTTAGGTGTTAGGTTAGAGTTTGGGAGAGAGCGCCTACCTCTCGAATTGAAGGTGCTTATCCTTTATCTATTTGAGTTGTATTGTCTGGTGTTATTGAAAAAAATATTTGGTTTCCCTAATTTCTATAAAAAACACCTCTGGTTCTTATCAAATTGGTATCAGAGCATTTGGTTGCTACCAACGCTTGTGCCTTTGTGACCGAATCTTGCGATATAATCGCAGCAAGCAAAGAAGACCACCGAGATCGCGGAACTTCTTCATGACTGAACTTCACCTACAATTGTGATTACTAGGAAGATAATGACTGAATCGTAACACTTTTTAGTGACCTAACTTCATCCTATAGTTGTGATTGTCGGGAAGCCAACGCCAGAGCGTGGAGTGCAAGCCCACACGTTTGTAATCTAATATCACGATACAATCATGATTTAAGTTAACAAAGACGCCAAAAGGATTGCAAAGCCTAGGAGTTTTGCATTGAACAAGCGTACAAGAATCCCGCTTCAACCGTATCTCTCGATACAGTCGTGATTTGAGGCAGCTAGAAAGCCATCAATAAGATCACGATGACTCCCTATGTACCACGACATCTCCTTCATGACTAACCATGCAATACAGTAGCCATTCGAGTTAGTTGGGAAGCCAATGATGGGATCGCAGAGTGCAAGTTTCCCCGTAAAAAATTGTGACTGATGTTGCTAGAAAAGTAGAAGGTTTGGAAAAAAAATTGGAAGAAATGTTGAGCCAAATCAGTTCTAAAATGGATGAGCATTTCTCGACCATGGAGAAGTGGTTTTCATCTATGGAGAGAAAATTCACGGCCTTCGAAGAAAGAATAAAAAAGATCGTAAGAGTTTCAAGCAAACCCCCTATCGTCTACTGCTAAATCGAGCAACGATGTCTGGAGCAGACGCAAGCGACAAAAATCAGAAGAATTAGTGCGGCATTAGGGCAACATCGATGCTTTAGTTGGATCTGGAACCTGGGGATTAAGTACGGGAATCGGGAATGGATTCAAAAAGCAGCACATTGAAAAAACAGAGTGACATCTGAACGGCTAAAACCAACGGAAGCAGACAAAATAGAGCGAAAGAAGTGGGAGCAGATTCGAGCATGCAACAATCTTAAGACCGGGGTTTCTCCCATCAGTGTGCGATCATACTGCTACCCCTAACTATAGAAGGAGATCGAGATATTGATTTGAGATATGTTGGAGGCTAGAAATGTGAGCCACTTCTCTAGCCCAGTCTTAGTATGTAAGAATGATGGGTGTTGGTGTTTCTAACAGTGAATAAATAAACGGTACATGACAATTTTCATCCCGATGGCCAATGAGCTACTTGACAAGTTGTTTGAGTTTGCAGTATCCTCCCAGATTGACTTATAGAATGTGCACAAGGCGACATTTCAAACTCATGATAGTCACTGTGAATTTCTGATTAAATAGAAAAGATTGTTAGATGATGACGCCGCATAAGAGCCACATGACTTAACCCAACAATAGTTTTCTTTTTGTTTCACCTTGAGAATAAGGTATCTTTTTGAAAAGAGAGTAATGTTAGACCAGAACCTAAGGAAAATTGTCTTTTATTAGTTATTATTGTGGAATATAAATAGAGCTAATATGTTTAGGGTGGTTAGGTATTTAAGATTATGATCTTGAGTCTTAAGGTTAGGGTTTTGGAGGAATCGCCTACCTCTCGGATTGTAGGTATTCAACATTTATGTATTTGAGTTGTGCTGTTTTGTGTTATTGAATTAAAATAATTGGTTGCCCTAATTTATGTGGAAAACTTCTCTAGTTCCTATCACACTTCTACAATACACATTCACTGATAAATCTTATTAGAGAGATTTCAATAAAGTAAATAAATCCAAATGAAAAACAAATTAACCATGTGCACTTATACTTTACAATGGTTATTTGCTTTGATCTTTATAGATTGGGTTCAAGGTTAAAATAATTGACAGGCCTGATCTTGGACATAATATACAAGGCCAACAACTCAAGACCCTCATTTTTATCCGAACTCATTAGCTTAACTAGTTCTCACTTAAATATGAGTATATATGAACTTGTACTTGCTAATATCACCAAACAAAAAGATGCAGCCAACTAGTTTTAAGTTCAGCTACAAGCATGAAGAACAGGGATTTTTCCTCCCACACACAGTAACTTAGCTAGAGCCCTTATAGTCTTCTCATACATCAATTTGCATCCATAATGTTAACTGCATTTACAAAATCTTTAAAGTGGTACAAAACATTATACAAAGGTAACAGTTTCTTTTTAAGTGCCATCTCCATTTTGATGACTAATGAGACCCGTCATCAAAACCATTCATTAGAGCCTACTCCTACCAGCAGCTCCTTTCCTTGGCCGAGTTTCACCCTTGTCAACTTAGCTTGTTGAACCTTTATGGAGAAACTCTTCTAGAACAGTTATCACTACCTCCTAATCATGCCCGATCAACCATCATCAGCCATCCTGCTGACATTCGTTGCATACTCAACCCATCAAATCACCCAATACTATCAAGCTCTAGCACCATCAGCAGACCTTACAAATGTAAACATCTATTTAAAATGAACTCGTTCATTGATATTCCACTGAAAAAACTATACCAAACAATCAAGTAGCTCCAAATGAAACATCGCATAAATCAGGATAGATTTCAAATGGACTTGCCTTTAATAATTTCAAACATGTTATGACATGATTTTCATTTGGATTCACTTAATATAACTCCAGAAATATTTCATGCAAATATTTTAATGAAATACCCATAAAGAGAATGGTTTGATGATTTTGTTTGTGTTAAAAGCTCAAAATTAAAGGTTTTTTTTCTGAGTTTTATAGATTATAATTCAATAAAGTCATTTATTAAATAAGATTGAAATAAAGAATGCCTTCCAATCTTTAGTCAATCAAATCATATAAAGCATATTTGATATTGCCAATCTATTCAGGCATCATGATATTGAACATGAGTTACTAGCGAGATTCACTTATAATTTGAGCGATTGAATGCATGTTTAAAGGTGTAGCATTGGACCTTCTTAAAATATTTTAAAAATGAGTTTATCGCTATTTTTGAATCTCTATAACACTGCATGTTATTTAGTATTTTCTAATGCACAAAGGGATAATGGAATATCTTCGTGGTCAACAGTAGGATTAGTGCCATTTGGATGCCACGATTTACATGCTACTTGATTTTAATGTGTTATTTTTATATGTCATTTCTTGATGCATGTGTCATATTACATTATAATTTTACTGCAACAATTCACATGTCATATGAGTTTAAGGAGATTTCATATAATTTTTGTGCATCATTTTATGAATTGACTTTGGCAATCACTGTATTACATGATGTATTAACATTGCTTATTTGCATCATGATACTAACCACATCACCGAATGGATGAGAGTGCCCTTTCTTTTAGACAATATGAGAGTCATTGACTCCATCCATCCATCTCGATCGATCGAGTCAAGGCTTACGTGTCTTTGTTGAAGTCTATCTTTCTATCTTTCTATCTATCTATCTATATATCTATCTATCTATCTATCTATCTATCTATCTATCTATCTATCTATCTATCTATCTATCTATCTATCTATCTATCTATCTATCTATTGGTTGTTTCAAAAGACAGGAGGCCAAATTACAATTCAAATGCAAACCTTCAACATCTCATATATCATTCATTTTTGCATAAATTAGAACTGGGATCATTATAGTAGAGCCTAGCTACAATTTTTGCTCACTTTGTGTATTCCTGAACGCAATTGCATTGTTATGCCACTGCTTATTCTTGACTTGTGTTTGCAATTGATTATTTACTAGATATGTATTAAAATTGTATGTTTTTTTCCCTAAATTATTCATCTTATTGGTGTAGAGTAGAGTGATCAAGGCTAACGTGTCATTGTTGAATTCCTACAACGTTAAACCTTCTTCCATTAATAATCAAATGACTTGAAAGTAACTATAGAGAAAAGTTTTATTAGAAATTAAATGCATAACTTCCCTTACAACCACTCTTTTAAAACAATCAATCCTCAACCCCTTTAGTGGATCACACGTGTAATCTGCATTTTTGGATAGCCATATCTATTAAAAGAGTGCTCTTTAAAATCAATACAAA